CTCTTGGGGGGCTCTTGGGGGTAGTCGATTGCGGCTCCCCCCTCGGAGGCCACGATCCTCGTGAGGGGTGTCGAAAAATACCCTCCCCTGGAGTGGTCTGGTGGCTTCTCCCGGGCTTCTCTCGGGACCTTGCCGGGGTACTTTTCGTCTGGGGGCCCCCAGGGGCCGCTCCGCGCGCGCGAACTAGAAATATTGTTAACAAGTTACCGGAGATCTTAGCACGCCTCTGGCCCGTTGGGCCGGCGAATTTGTGTGTCCCAGGGCCCCTTGAAATTGGCCGACGCCGCGGCGCCATCCTGCGGCGCCCCCCGCCGGCGACGGCTGCAGGCCCGCTTTTGTCTCCGAGGCCCGAGGCCCGATCCAGGAGGAGGCCCCACTTCCTCAAATGGTGGCGAAGCGGCCCTCCCTCCTCCTCCTCCGCCTCCTCCTCCTCCTCCTCCTCCTCCTCCTCCCCCTCCTCCTCCTCATCCTCCTCCTCCGCCTCCTCCGCCTCCTCCTCCTCCTCGTCCTCCTCCTCCTCCTCCTCCTCCTCCGTCTCCTCCTCCGGTCCCCACACTTCCCCCTTTTCGGCCCTCGCCCTCCTCTCCGCCCGTGCCTGTAGGCCTACCAAACAATGTTCTAAGAACCTTTGGTGGTTTCCGCGACATGTTCTTAGAGCATTTCTGGCTGGGACCGTCTTGTTTTGACAGAGCGGGCTCATGTTCTGAGAACATTTGTTTTGCTCTTAGAACATTGAGGGGTTCTAGGAACACGTCGTGGTAGGCCTAAGGGAATGCTGGGACGGTCGGTCCCTGCTCAACTTCCCATCCCAGACATGCGACGTCCTGATTTCGTCGATACGGGGTCCCTGGCAGTCCCGCCCCTCTCCCCAGGACCGATCTTTCGCCCCGGGTCGTCTGTCGACGGCCCCGGGGCCCGGCAACGGCCCCCCGCGGCCGACATCGACCTCGAACCTCCCGCCCTGATTTCTGTTACCCATCATGTCTGTGATCGCTCTTGTTTACGATGCGCCGTTGACGGCAACACCACACCGCTCACCCTCCGGATATTCGCCTCCGACTCCTGTCCAAGGCGTTCCTTTTCCTGTGCAAGCTCCTCGGCACCGCCTGCACCCCGGCCCGCCCTCCGGCCGCCTGAGGCCCCGCCGGCTCGCGCCCTGTCTCCCCAATTAGAGCTGTGCGTAGCCCGCCTAGCTTTTTAACCGGAAGAGGTTCGCTCTCGCCCCGCAGACCAAAAAAGTTTCGGATCGCTCCTCCGGATGCGAGCTCTGTCCAGGAGGAGGCCGGCGCCGCCGCCGGCGCGGCCGCCGAGGAGGCCACGCCGCCGCCGAGTGGCGCCGCCGGCGGCGCCGCGCGGCCCGCCGAGGGGGCGGCGGCGCCGGCGGCGGAGGCTCCCGCTGAGGTCGCCGTCGTCGTCTTCCGTCGTCGTCGTCGTCGTCGTCGGCGGCGGCGTCGGCGTCGTCGTCGTCGGCGTCGTCGTCGTTCTCGTCGTCGTCGTCGTCGCCGCCGCCGCCGCCGCCGTCGTCGTCGTCGTCGTCGTCGTCGTCGTGGATCGGCACGAACGAAATTCGGGCCGGACGAAAGGGGGGGATTGGGAAAGGGGGGGTTACGAAATTTGCTGCATGCAGCTGGTTTCGGCCTCGCCGAGGGGCCCATTCCTTGATACATAGCCGCCTCCGGCGCTGGGAGGCGCCGGGAAAATTAGCTACGCGAGCTGAAACTCAAACCCCCCCTTTCGCCCGACCCGAGAAATGGGTACGGAAAGAATGGGCACACTGCCCAACAGCATATCCTCTTCAGTTTGAACAGGATTCGCTGTCCGTGCCGCCGCGGCCTGTGCCCATCTGAAACAGAAGGCCGCCTGCCCAACAGCGGCCGCTGTTCGTTTGGGACTGTACCCGTGGTATCCGTACGCAGATCGGGCGTCCAAATCGTCGTCATGGGCGCATGGACATTTTTGTTGGCGCTCCGCGCGGATTTCTTGGATCCGCGCTTGGCCCCCCTGGAGGCGCCTCCGGCGCCGCGCCTGGCGCGCTCCGCGCGCCAGGGAGGGGGGTCTAGCGGCTAGCGCAAATCCAAGGAATCCGCGCGGAGCGCCAACAGTTTACGTTTATGCAGTTTTTCCTATTGTATGGTCTCGTAGTTCGGACCGCAGGGTGCGTTAGCGTGCGCTAGCGTCTAGGCAGCGCCGATTTAGCGTCGATTCAGCTTCGATTCAGCGTCGATTCAGCGTCGACTGGCGTCTATTAGCGTCCTTTGGCGTGGCGTAGCGTCGATTGGCCAGAACCAGCAAGATGGTATGGGAGGGTCCCATGCGTGGCCACAGAACTGCCGTCGTGGAAGTCGTCGTGGTAGCTGGGTACCTCCGTCCTGGCCCCCCATCCAGAGGAGGAGGAACAACAAAAACGATTCTGCTGCTGCTCGCCCTGGAGAACCCTCGTCGCCACGGCTGGATTCTCCTCGAGGTTCTGGTCAGGACGCACCGCGGGAGAGTCTCGAGGAGCAGCGGCATCGGTGCTTGTGCGTCTCCTAACCCATCGGCCACCCCCCCCCATCGTGGCACCCCGCCGTGAGCGCTTGCGGTTGGGATGCCCCAAACACGTGGGCGTACTCTATTTGCTCCAGCTTTCTCGGCGCCTCTCACCGGCCAGGTCCCGTCGCTGAGCTCTCCAGCAGGAGCACGTAAAAGAGCCAAGACAGTTCGGACATGAGAAGAATAACGTCCCAGAACTGAAGAAAAGCTGTCTGGGGTCTCCTCTGCCCCGCCGGGGTACTGATGTTCTCTTGTCCGTCCCACGAGCTGGATGCATGGGGCCTGCAGGCCCGACGCCGGGCAGCTTTCGGGTCACAGGCCGGGCCCAGGGCGGCCGAGGGGCACGCTTCGGGCAGCCCCGGAACGCCCCCAGCGAGGCGCAGCCGGTGGAGGACACCCTGAGGCTGTACAGCCGCCGCGAACCGGCGAAGAAGCCATTGTGTCCGGGGCCTCGATTGGTCCATCCCCACCACCCGGGGAATCGAGCTGCGGGGCTTCGGCGGGGCTGTGGATTCTGGTGTACTCGGGGTCTTGGTGCGTCAAGCATACGCACTGTTCACTTCTGATTCTGCGAAGGTTCTTTGATTTTTCGGGGGCCAAGACTCTTCCACCTCTAACTTTTCGATCCTGGGCCTCTTCCTGGCCACTTGGGGGCCAGGAACCATTAGAAACGAGCACACTTAGAAATGAGCACGATTAGAAATAAACGACGTGTGTCCATATCCACTGCATGCCCGTGCTCCCCACCCGACAGGGGGAGGTCATGGATCAATCCCGGCCTCGCGTTGCCGGCTCTGACCGTGGGGGCGTAGGGTATGGAGAATGCCCATGAGGCCTCAAGCCTTGGAGGACCCCTTGTCTGATGAGGGCGGCGGTGGTATCCGTAGCCAATCTGCGGTTGGAGTTCACCAGAAGCCATGTCATCGGCGTTGTATTCTAAGCCGCTCGAGGCGAAAAGTTCTTACGCTCCAGCGCCTTGCTTTGCACGAGGGCAGAAGAACTGATATGGCAGCTGACGCGGCTCTCCACTTGTTGCTCCTTGTATGGGCTCTGTACTTGTGTCTCCTTGTCTTTGCTTCATGGTCCCAAGAGGGCCCCTGAGGTTTCCAAGAGGGCCCCAAGAGGCTCCCAAGGGGCTCCAAGAAAACCCTCAGGAGGCTTCCAAAGACTCCCAAGCGGTCTCAAAGAGGCCGTCAAGATGCCTCAAGAGCTGTTCCCTCCCCAGAGGCAGCCAAGATTCTTCAAGGGGCTCCCGGGACTGCCAAGAGACACACGCCCCAAGAAGCCTCCGAGAAGCGACCAAGAGGGGCCCCAGAGGGCCCTTAGAGTCGATTTTGACTGTCCCTGAAGATGGGCTAAAATCCCACCAGCCCTTTCAGCGTAAGTGGTTTTGATACCCCCCTCTTCCAACCCTCTTCTTCCTCGTCGGTACCCCCTCCCCCTGGACCTGGACGGGGCCTTTCGCGAGCGGTCAGAGCGTCCAAGATGGCCCAAGATGGCTCCAAGAAGGCCCCAAACAGCTAAACATGGTATCCAAGATCGCTGAAGATAGCCCAACATGGCCAAATATAGCTTGCAACAGACCTCCAAGAGGCTTAAAGATCCCTCCAAGACGGCTCTAAGTGGTTAAATGGCCTCCCAAGGACGCCCTGGAGAGGCCAACAACCGTCCGAAAGCTAATAGAAATCAACGTTTTTGTTTGCCTTCTCGCCTTTTTGCTTCCCATAGGCTTCTGGAGCCTCGAGGTGGCTGCGGGATGGCTCCAAGAGAGGCCCAAGACGGCCCCAAGAACGCCCAAGACCGCCCCAAGAGCGTCCCAAGAGAGATCCAAGAGGCGGTCTGGAGGGCTCCGACGGGGGGATCCAAATTGACGCCACCCTCTTTGTTGGTCGGAGGACCAAGAGGGGCCCCAGGTGGCTCCAAGATGGCTTCAAGAGCGCCCCGAGAGGCCTCCAAGAGACCGGAACCCTTTTCAATCCTTAGTTATCGGGGGCGGACAGAGCCCCCAACAGTGACACGTCGATTCGTGAATTGTCCGTTTTCGGTTCTCTAGAGGGCGCCGTGGCCATCATTTTCCAGGCTTGCGCCCGCCAGGTTTGGACCTCAGGTCGCTTTCACTAAACCACGTTTTACTAAAGGGGGGTCTGTCCATCCCCGAAATTATCTTACCCAACGTGCCGGAGGCGTGCTAAAATCTTTGGTAACTGGTAAACGATATTTCCAGTTCGCGCGCGCGGGCCAGCCCCTGGAAGTCCCCGGACGATAAGCACCCCGGCAAGGTCCGAGCAAGATCCGCCCAACGATGCCGGAACTCCCCGGGACTGTTTCCCGGACCCGCAGAGCGCCCCAAGACGGCCTCAAGAGGCCCCTAAGATGGTCCAAGAGGGCTCCGAGTCGCCGACCGATCAGTCCAAGACGCTCAATATAGCCTCCAGACGGCCGCAGACGCCTCCGAGACGCCCAAATAGGTCTCCAAGAAGAGTTCCCAAGAGGGCCCCAGGAGGCACAATTCACAGATTTCTTTTTTGGGTTTTTGCAGGATTTGGGTGTTCTCACCTGTTCCGACGCTGAAAGACGGCCAAAGAGGCCCTGAAGATCGCACCAAGATGGCCCCAAGACGGTCCAAAAGGGCCTCAAGAAGGCCCAGTCGGGGGTGGACAGAACCCCCAACAGTGACACGTCGATTAGTGAATTGTCCGTTTTCGGTTCTCGAGAGGGCGCCGTGGCCATTATTTTCCAAGCTTGCGCCCGCCAGGTTTGGGCCTCAAGTCGTTTTCACTAAGCCACGTTTTACCAAAGGGGGGTCTGTCCATCCCCGCTC